GGCGGGCGGGCGGCGGCGGCTTAGATGAAAAAACAAAATATCAAAACACATTTTTGGTGTTTTGAGAAAAATGTTTATTTTTTGGATTTTGTAAATAGTCAAGTCAAAAAAACGTACGAGTTGCCAAACGCGTTTTATTGTTAAAAAAAAAAACAGAAACGACAAAAACAACACGATTGCCAAACGCTCCCTTAAATAAATCAAAACAATCTACACGGGCATGGGCCTTATACCTGTACATATATTAAAAGAGATCATTAAATTCAGGAATCTAGAAGAAATAGAAACAAAGATAGAGATTTGTTTTTTGAAATTTCGCGGGGTACCTGGGCGTAATTTTCCATTCATTCTATTCTTCAAACGGACGAACCGAGATCGAACAACGAAATACGCCCAACAAAAACCCTTTTATAATACAGTAAGCTCACCGCGATCTCATCTAAAAACAGTCGATCCCAATTTCTTCCTCCTTCTTCTCTGATCCTTGTCCAGTCTCCATCCCTCCTTCTTCAGTCTACTCCCAGTTCTCATCTCATCGCCCTGAGAGCCAAATTCTCTTCAGAACGAGCTCAGCATCGAGGGATTTGGCCTCCGAAACCCTAATCTAAGGGCCATCCATCAGATCCGAATCGAACCGATCGTTTCCACTTCGGATCTGGATCCTGATCTCCGCAGATTCGGATAGTTAGGGTTTCTACCTACTGGATTCAAGATTTCCGTCAAATTTTAGGCGTGATGCGGTTTCTATAGTTGTTTTTTTTGGAAGAATGAGGGGTTTCAGGGCTAAGTGCAGGGTGGGATCTCTAGTGCTTCTCTTCGTAATTGTCGGATTGGCTGCTCTCTATGGGTTACTGAAGCCGATCTCGAGTGGATGCATCATGACTTACATGTATCCCACTTACATTCCGATCTCAACTCCGGCGGATGTTTCGTCGGATAAGTATGGGTTGTTCTTGTATCATGAGGGTTGGAAAAAAATAGATTTTGCGGAGCATCTTAAGCAGCTCAGTGGAGTTCCTGTCCTGTTCATCCCTGGAAATGGGGGGAGCTACAAGCAGGTAAAAAAAAAAATCCTTTCTTGATCCATTTCCTTCGTTGCTAATAGCAATTAGTTGTTTGCAGTCCTGTTTCAGCACAAAAAATTAAACTGCTTATAAAGTGGATAATCTCATATGCGCTCGTTATATATCGGTCTAATTAGCAATTTATTTATTTTAGACTACTCAACACGCTTTTATTTTACACTTCTTAGGCAACAGTGAGCTGATACTCTATGGAAGCAGAGGGAAAATCTATCTTTTGTCATATTAGAGCAACCTGTCAATGCGTTCGAGGACTTTGTATAGTGATCCAAGTCCCTGATTATCCTAATTATGACCTGAAGGAAAGAAGATGCTTGATGTCTTCTTATTTTTCTTCTCAAAATCTTTAAAATTCAGAAAATCCATACCCTAATTTTAGTACATTGAGTGCAGCAGACATTTAGTTGTAGTTGGGCATTGTTTTCACATGCCTAAAATAAAATAATAATAATTTGGTAGACCTTTCATTGGCTTAGGAGGTTTCAGTTCCAAAATTAGGTGGTAGAGAATGTTGATGCTATAGTAGTGGAAATCTGATAGACATAGCAACGAGCCATGTTACCGTGTCATGTTATTGTTCGCATATCTTCCCTTCACAACATGCCATTGTCACTGTCGCATGATCCTTCGACACAATAGAAATTATTATCCTTTGAGCTCCTCTTCACTTCTCATACTTTAACTTATCGGCCCTCTCTTTCCTATCAGAATCTTTCGTCCTTCTTTATTTTACTTTGACCAACACATTTTACTCTCTGTTTCCCTATTATCATGTGCTTTTTGCCCTTATTAAATCTCAGGCGTGAGTGTTACTTTTTATAGGATGGAAATGTGAATGGGTGGAGGAATCATTCTACATGCTTAGAGCAGAATTTCTTGTTTGTTTACAAACTTATCTCATCAGAAATGTTCACTGAAGAAAAAAGTTAGTTATAGGTTCATAAACCTTGATAAAATGCAAACCATCTAGGTGTTCTGCTCTGAGGGATTGATCCTGTAGTTAAATGGTGCCATGGTCGGCAAATCACATCTATCATATGGAATGTGTTTAATTGGCTAACTCCCAATCATGTGGCTGCCACATTTGGGAAGGTAAAGAGAAGAACTGACATACACTTTGATTGTTGTCCCTCTGTAATTCTCCTTCCCTTTGTAACTAATCAATCACGAGGCAGTTAGATTTGGGTGTTAGGTGGAGGCTTGTTATTGAAATATTACTTTAAGCTTCTTGCGTGTCATTATTCTCTGTTGGCACTACTCTGCGGGACAAGGTTATTTTCTTTTTATCATTTTTATTTTGGTTTCCTTGTTCTGCTTGTTGATCTGTACCGCCACAAGTATGGCTTTCATGCGGGAAGGGAATCGCCCATGGAAATCAATAAAGCTCGACGGATAAGTATTTACAAAATTGCAACACATATAAATATTTCCTCATATAAATGTCTCCTCATATTTTAGAGAATTGTTGCTTACGATGCCCATGTTTAAATCAAAGTCATGTCCCATCTAAAAATTATAGCAAATTATACTGTGGCTGTTAAATTGTTTATTGGATAACTTCCGCTTACCTTGCTACTTAAGAATTTTTTTTTTGGTTTGTGCCTTTAACTCATGACCTCTTCATCATCGGGCTTTCTGCCACTTGTGTTTTCCCCCCAATGCATGCTTAATGTTAGATTGTACTAAGTCTACTCTTTTTCCCCCATTTTGTCCTTCTAGGTGCGTTCTTTGGCTGCTGAGTCTTCAAGGGCATACCAAGCTGGACCACTAGAGCCAACTTTCTATGGAGAAGCAACCACTGCACCTGTTGAAGAAGGAAGTAATTTGTTGCCAGAGGATTTGGATGATTTTGAACACCCTAGCCAGTACACACACATGCTGGACTGGTTCGCCGTGGACCTTGAGGGGGAACATTCTGCAATGGATGGGCAGATACTTGAAGAGCACACTGAATATGTTGTATATGCCATCCACAGGGTATGACTTCAGTCCTTTCGCACAAATCTAAGTGGAATGCTAATGTTGGGATGTCTAAATGGATATTTAATTGGAGTAAATTCGACATTAGCTGTAACACGTCTTAATTATAAAACATATTTACAATCTGCTCCATTTTCATGAACAGAGGAAGAAATTAGCAAGATCTTTTCTGTGTTGTTATCAATAATAAGTTTCTTGTTTCATTGGATTTTTAATGAGTATTTTAAAAATATTTTATTGTGTTAACTTCATAAATTAATGGACATTTCAAGCATGCTTTGACAGAATAACTAAAGAGGATTGAAACTAATTGAGCTTTTGAAAAAAAAGGTATTATTTTTTTGCTTATACTGACTTGAAAAACATTTGAATATCTGGTAACACTCTTTTATATTGCAGTGATGTAGTTTCATGGTGATGCACTTCTCTGTAAAAATTATTCAAAGTGTTCAGCTGCTTCTAAATTTGAAGTACAAAAAACCAGTTTGTTCTTCAGTGGGAAAAACATGTTGATATCTGTGTTGCTTACATCTAAACACCACATTCTTTCAGTATCGCTGGAGTCTTTCTTGTCATGAAGTTGTACTCTTTTGTAATCATTATGTAGAGATCATCAGCAGATTGTTGTCTCTAATCTGGTTTTACACACATGTCAATTGACTTCTCTTTAATTTGTTAATTATTTTATAGACTACGAAATCCAATAATCTTCCAGGAAAGAAATTAAAATATCTACATTCTTCTATTTCATTTGTAGATCTTGATGATCCAGATAGTTGGATAGGCCTTGATGGTGACGGTCTCGTTCATTTTATATAATTGTAGATATTGGATCAATATAAAGAATCTCATGAAGCCCGATTGAAGGAAGGTGCTGAAAATTCTGGAAGTTTGCCTACTAGTGTTATCTTGGTGGGTCATTCTATGGGTGGCTTGGTGGCAAGAGCTGCAGTGGTCCACCCTCACTTGCGGAAGTCGACTGTTGAAACCATCTTAACACTCGCAAGCCCCCACCAGTATGTTGTAACTTTAACTTTTTCCCCAAGTGCTTCATTTTTTTGGCTGGTATCACAATTTACATTTATTCAGGTCGCCTCCTGTTGCATTGCAACCATCATTGGGTCATTACTTTGCAAAAGTAAATGATGAGTGGAGAAAGGGTTATGAGAAAAAAACGTCCCATGCAGGCCGTATCTTGGCTAATCCTACACTGTCTCGTGTAATTGTTATTTCAATATCTGGCGGCATTAATGACTTCCAGGTTTAATTTCTGTACCTTATTACTTAAAGTTGCTATCATTTTGCTAACAACTTTATCTTTTCCTTCCAGTTTATGTTGCTTATATTATATGCTCATCTTTTGTAAATGTTCGTTGGCACATACGTCCAAATGTGCATACCAGCCCGTATAATATATACATTGTGTATGCAAGATATGTATGTGTGTGTTGGCTCATGTTCATTTGAATTTTGAAGTTGAAGTCTTGAATTGATATATTCAATCTTCACACATGCCAGCAATTAGTAATTTCAGCTTTGATTTTTTTGAAACTTATTAAGAATCGCCAAATACTTATTTATTTCCGTTAACTTCAATAAGAAAGGAATGATTAATGGTAGATCCTGCATGAAGAAGATTGACGATGATGTTATTGTGTGCGCAAGTCATTTTCAGAACTTAATTCCTCAGTCATTTACAGGGAGAAGCTTCTACCTAGTAAAACTTACAACAATATGGTAAAAAGAAAAGAAAAGAAAAAAGAACATATAGAATAGAAAAGAGAATGCAAAAGGATAATTTTTTAAAAGAAGCCCAATTTGATCAATATTTAGGAAAACCGACCGTTTTTTGCTAAATATTTAGCAAAATCGATCTCTTTTTGGCCAGCGCATCAAGACTGGTCAAAAAGAGGTGAGCTGGCAAAAAAGAGGTTGATTTTGCTAAATATGGGTTTCAAAACACATGGGACTAGCAGTTCGTGTGTTTAGTGGTTGCTAATCACGGCCTAAACAAGAAACAGAAAACACACAATAGTCCCGTGTTTTTTTTTGTTAACTAGTAAAGAGACTTCGGGTTGAAACCGAGGAACTGCGGGGGACAAGAGGAGCGGCACAAGACATTAGGGGCCAGGGGATGGCGATGTCCGGTGATGGGGAGAAGGA